AAGTTTGGGGGCCCCAACAAGATCCGGCAGAAATGCCGGCTGCGTCAGTGCCAGCTGCGGGCCCGGGTGAGCATGGGCAGAGCTGGGCAAGGTCAGGTTAATGGGCCATTGTTTTCAAGAAGAGGTGATTAAGGCTAAAATTGGTGGGCCAGGTAGAGTGGGGACTAATTGCATATAGCTAGTTGAAAGGAGCCTGGCCTATCCAGATGGATGGGGCATGACCAGGTGTGCTGGGCTAGCAGGGGAGCCCCTAACCCCAGGTGGGCACGGTAGGGCTAGGTGTTTCTAGGTAGTTAGGCATAGCAGGCAGGTAGGGCAGGGCTGAGCAGGTCCTGGCTATCAAAGATGGGGGTGCATGTGTGCCTGGGGAGGCAAGGTAGGGCTAGTTGGTGGGTCGAGCACTTGGAGGGGCTAGGGCCAAGCCAACCTCCATCCACCTGGGGCTGACCTGGGCCTTCCTCCTGCCGGCACAGGAATCGTACAAGTACTTCCCTTCCTCGGTGAGTCCAGCCTCCCAGGGCAGGGCGGGACATGCGGGCAGATTGTTCAGGGCCAGTCCTGAGATTCTGCCCTGCAGCTCTCGCCAGTGACATCCTCTGAGTCCCTGCCAAGGCCTCGTCGGCCGCTGCCCACCCAGCAGCAGTCACAGCCACAGAAGCTGGGACGCATCCGTGAGGACGAGGGGGCAATGGCATCATCAGTAGTCAAGGAGCCACCTGAGGCTACAGCCACACCTGAGCCACTGTCAGATGAGGACCTACCACTGGACCCTGACCTGTATCAGGATTTATGTGCAGGGGCCTTTGATGACCACGGCCTGGTGAGCAGGCAGAGCATCCCATGGTGGAAGGGTGGTTACAGAAGCAGAGTATCCATAATGAAAAGAGAGGAGGCAGAGGGTATGGAAGGCTGATTTGGGAACTGAGTAGGTGGTGGGGTAGTCATGAGTGGGGCAAGGGGGTCAATGTATGCCTCACTTGCAGCCCTGGATGAGCGACACAGAGGAGTCCCCATTCCTGGACCCTGCGCTGCGGAAGAGGGCCGTGAAAGTGAAGCATGTTAAGCGTCGGGAAAAGAAGTCTGAGAAGAAGGTGATGGAGAGGGTGAAATGCATGTGGGAAGGCAGATGGCAGGGGCTGAACGGGGCGAGAGCCAGAAAGGGATGGGATGCAGGGGAGACAGGAGTATGGGGCTGATTTCAACTCTACCCTGTCCGGACCTGCCTGGTCCAATAGAAGGAGGAGAGATACAAGCGGCATCGACAGAAGCAGAAGCACAAGGACAAATGGAAACACCCAGAGCGCACCGATGTCAAGGATCCTGCATCACTACCGCAGTGCCTGGGGCCTGGCTGTGTGCGCGCTGCCCAGCCCAACTCCAAGTATTGCTCAGATGACTGTGGCATGAAGCTGGCAGCCAAGTGAGTTATTCTTGGAGGGTTCAAGGGAGTCAGGGAATATAGGATAGGGCTTGACAAGATCCCTCTGTATGTTTGCCAGTTACCTGTCTACCATTCAGTCAATCAAGCATGCACCTATCTGTCCACCCATCCATCCAAAATTCACTCACCTGCCAGTTCATGTACCATCCAGTCACCTGTTTACTTATCTTTCAACATTTAGTCACTCATCTATTCTGTCATCTTTGGCTCACCCCACTTATTCATCTTGTTGCTTGCCACCTTTCTACCTGCACTCCTCCCACTGCTCCCTGCAGCCGCATCTATGAGATCCTTCCCCAACGCATCCAGCAGTGGCAGCAGAGCCCCTGCATTGCTGAAGAACATGGCAAGAAGCTCCTTGAACGCATTCGCCGTGAGCAGCAGAGCGCCCGCACCCGCCTTCAGGAAATGGAGCGTCGATTCCATGAGCTTGAGGCCATCATAGCACGAGCCAAGCAGCAGGCTGTGCGGGAGGATGAGGAGGTGAGCGAGCATGGGCATAGCAGTCCAGGGTCCAGTACCTGGTCCTGCCCGGCCTCATCATTCCTTCCATCCCATGCAGAGCAATGAGGGTGACAGTGACGACACAGACTTGCAGATCTTCTGCGTCTCCTGCGGGCACCCCATCAATCCACGTGTTGCCTTGCGCCACATGGAGCGCTGCTATGCCAAGGTCAGGGTGTCAGCCTGAGAGGCCAGTTGGTGTGGGAACAATAGCGGGTCTTTGGGGGACAGATGTGTTGTCTGAGTGCTGTACTGGGAGGGCATGCAGCACACATCCACAGTTCTTTCCATTTTTGCTCATCATTCCAGTATGAGAGCCAGACGTCCTTTGGGTCCATGTATCCCACACGCATTGAAGGGTGAGTGTGGGTGCTACGTGGAGTTAAAGCAAGGTTAATGCTGGGGTCAAAAGTAAAATGTTGGGCCAGGATGTCGTGATGGGCAATAGGTGGTTCCCCCTCCCTTCTCTCCTTTCACTACCCTCTTTCTACTCCAAACCCCCAGGGCCACACGACTCTTCTGTGATGTCTACAATCCTCAGAGCAAGACATACTGTAAGCGGCTCCAGGTGTTGTGCCCGGAGCACTCACGGGACCCCAAAGTAAGGTTTTCCCTCAATTTCTCACATTCTGTCACTCCTCCCTTCTTCACTGCCCTACATTCATCCTTTTCTTCCCCCCCTCCTCCTTCCTTTCCTACCTGACTACTTTCATGGCTCCCACATTCCCTGCTTTGTCACCCTTCATTTATCTCGTTTTTCCTGTCTCATCACCTCCTATCCCCCCCTTTCCCTGCGTCTTTACCCTCTGTTCCTCCCCTTTCCCACTCCTTTCCATTCTCCCCTAAACACCATTCTTTTCATCCTCCCTGCTTTCCTGACCCCTTCCCAGTCTACCCTCCTTTCTGCCTTACACCCCATTCACCCCATGCCATCTTCCTGCAGGTGCCAGCTGACGAGGTATGCGGGTGCCCCCTTGTACGTGATGTCTTTGAGCTCACAGGTGAATTCTGCCGCCTACCCAAGCGCCAGTGCAACCGCCATTACTGCTGGGAGAAGTTGCGGCGTGCTGAAGTGGACCTGGAGCGTGTGCGCGTGGTAGGTTTTGATGCTGGATGTGGTCAGGGTGAGGTGGGTCTTCCAGAGCTCCATGTCATGGCTCCTTCTGCTCCTCTGGCAGTGGTACAAGCTGGATGAGCTGTTTGAGCAGGAGCGCAATGTACGCACAGCCATGACAAACCGGGCAGGATTACTGGCCCTGATGCTACACCAAACCATCCAGCATGACCCACTCACTACCGACCTGCGCTCCAGTGCTGACCGTTGAGCCTCACTGGCTCATACATCCTCACAGCCTGCATTCCAGGCTGGGGAGCTGCCTGGAATCCCCCGTTTGTCTTTCCAGTGGTCCCTCAGTTTCTCCTTGTGCCCATCCACCATTTGACTGCCCATCTGCCCTTACCAGAGGGTCTTACAATTTCTTCCTGCCTTTGTCTATCTATCCTTCTGTTTCTTCATTCTTTGTGCCTGGGTGGAACGGTGCAGTCTGCTCACCCTTGCTTCGTTTCTCCCAGGTTTTGTTAATAAAATTTTGAAGAACCAAACTTTGGTCTCCAAACTTCACTCAGTTGCATCTGAATTCTCAAACTGTTGAAGTAGATGGGCCAGTACATGTGTATAGCCTGGGAGTATACACAGGTGGTACCCAGTAGGTATAGGTTCCCCCCTTGGGCTATGGGCATATGACCTGCTGAGGGAGAGCCCAATGACCTACATTCACAGTCCCTCATTTTGAGATAGTGGGTATACAATCAGCACTCATTCAGTGTGTAGCTGATTTACCACTCCTGTGTGAGCATTAATATTCTCCAGACCAGCACTGGTCAGGTAGCTCAGTTGGTTAGAGTTGTACAAATACACCAAGGTTGTGGATTCAGTCCCCGATCAGGGCACATGCAAGAATCAACCAATGAGCCCTGGCCCATAGGCCTGTGCACCAAAGGGTCGCAGGTTCATTTGCAGGTTCAATTCCTGGTCAAGAGCATGTACTTAAGGATCCCGCCTGTGGGAGGCAACCAATCCGATGTTTTTTTTCTCCCTCCCTCCCTGCCTCCCACTCTCTAAAAATAAAAGGAAAAATATCTTCAGGTGAGGGTTAACAAAAAAAAAAAATCAACCACTGAATGCATAAATAAGTAGAACAACGAACAGATGTTTCTCTCTGTGTTACTCAAATCAATTTTTAAAAAAAGTTCTCCAGACCAGAAGTGTATTCAGCGATGGACACAAGGGCCTCTCTTTTCTCATAAACCCCTCTTTTGGAATATGCATGCAGCAGGATCCCACTAACTTTGTGCCAGGAACCCCATCTGGCCTCCCCTGGTGGTCCGGTCCAGTCGGCCCCACAGCTTGCCCTTTTAGGGATGGACGCGGTCTCACCGGTTGGCTGCACGACCTGGCCTGTTTACTTCTAGCGCGGCACCGCCCCCTTCTCCAGTTCCCGCGAAAGGAGCTGGGGCGGGCGCGACTGAACTGTCTGCGCGCGCTCCTGCAGCAGTTCCGCGGGGAGGAGGCAGCGGGACGCAATAGTGCCGGGGGCATTTTCGCGGGGACGGCAGAGCACAACACTGGCGTGACCTAGGCTAGTGGAGGGCTCAGGCACAGCCCCAGCCCTCGCCACCCCTCCCTCCGGGTTACTCCTTGTGGAGACCGCCGGGGCAACGGAGAGCGCAGGTCCAACCCCAACCCTCCACGCCCCCTTTGGTTGGGTCTGGAGGGCGCAGGCGCAAATGAGGTAGGCGGAGTAGGGAGAAGGCGCGGGTTGATGAAGCGAGAAGCTTTGGGACTGCTGGTTTCCCGAAGGGAAGCGAGCTTCATTGGACTTGGGTGCGCAAGCGCAGCAGGCCTGACAAGGGGCGCGCGCGGCTGTGGGACACAGCACGCAGGCGCGCGATCCTCCCTACTAAGGGCAAGTGCCAGCCGGGCAGTAGCGCGCAGGCGTCTCTCTGGTAGCGGAACCCTGGGGGCGGGCCCCGGATTTCCGGTTTCGAGCGCAACGAACGGCCGCGGCGGCGACAGCTACCGCTGAAGCGGCTGCACAGGAGGAAGAAGAGGAGCTGGGCAAGGCGGGAGTCACAGGCGGGAACCCTCGTCATGGGTCCGCGGACCTAGACCTGCGAAAGCTACCGGGCCGGTGCCGAGCTGGTGAGACAGTCGTAGGGGTGGAAGTGGAGAGCGATCAGGCGGAGGATGGGGCTCGGAACGCTGAGGGAGAGGGCCCTTGGGCCGACGAGTGGGAGGAATGGCGGCGTCGGAATATTGAAGGAACGGAATAGGGAGATTTAGGCTGAGGACGGAGAGGAATGGGGCTCAGAACACTGACAGTGGAGGTGTCGGGATTCTGGACGAGGACTTAAAGAATTGAAGGAGGACCCGAATGCTGAGAGGAGATAGTGGGGCCTCTCAAGAAGAGAGAAATAGGTGTTCAGAACCCTGAGGGGGATTAGTGAGGATCTCTCAGGCAGATGACGGAGAGAAATGGGGGCGTTGGGATGCTTAAAGGGCGGGACGAGATCTCTTTTGTAGGATGAGGAGAAATAGGGTGTCAAAACACTGACAGTTAGAGGTGGCATGTTCCTGGGACAAGAACAGAGAGGAATGGGGGTTCAGAATGCTGAGGGGAGAAATCAGGGCCTTTCGGGCGGATGAGAGGAATGGAGGATGGGGACGCTGAAGGGAAGGAGTGAGAGAACTTTTTAGCTGCAGAAGAGGAATAGGGAGGTTCCAGGGCTGAGATTGGGGAGGAGTTGTGGTTCAGAACACTGACAGAGAGGGGAAAATAGGGGGAGGATTTCAGGCTGAGGAACAGGAGAAATGAGGGGCAGTTCAGGTTAGGGTTATGGAGGAGTTGGACTCTGGTAAAGAACACAGGGGAAATTGAGGCAGCACTGAGGTAGCAGGATAAGAGGACATCAGACAGGGAAGGAATGGGAGGGTAAAGAGACTGAAAGAGAGAAATTGGGGACTTCTGGGTCAAGAGGGGAACAAATGGGAATCAGAACACTGGCATATAGTGCTGGGACCACAGTCTGAGGACAAGAGGAATGGGGGCCTCTGGAGCTGAGGATAGGGAGTATGGAGGTCTCAGGTGACAAAGGGGAGGAATAGGGGGACAGTAGATTAAAGACAGAGAATAGCTCCTGGGCCAAGGACAGGGAGAAATGAGGAGGAAGAATGAAAGATCCCTAGGTTGGCAGTAGCCTGATGGGCTTTCAGGCTAAGGATGGGGGAAACAGGTGATCAGGACACTGAAAGTGAGGAATGAGTATCCCTGAGTTGGGAATGGGGCTACCAGATGAAGAGGATGAGGAATGTGAAGCTCCTGGGCCCAGGACGGGGAAGAAGTGGTGGGAATGGGGGTTTTCTCTTCCTTATATTGGCCAGTTGCCTGTGGCAAGTCCCAGGTTTTGGATAAATATTAGTAGATATCAGTGGTTTGTGTGGCCTGGGGCACAACATGTCCCCTTTTACAGCCTATTTCTCCCATTGCCCCCTCCATGTTGCAGGCCCCTGCTCCTTCCTGTAGCGCTCATGGCTGAGGAGTGGCTGGACTGCCCAGCCCTGGGCCCTGGCTGGAAGCGTCGTGAGGTTTTTCGCAAATCTGGTGCCACCTGTGGACGTTCAGACACCTATTACCAGAGGTACTGGTTGGGTTGTGAGCAGAGCCAGGGTAGGGCTTTGCCTGGTTAGGCAGAGTGAAATTGGGATGTGATTAAATTTATGGGTGGAGCTAAAATTATGCATATACATGTGATCATTATTTGCAGATTCCATATTTGCAAATTCGCCTGCTCACTAAAATTTGCACTTTCAGAGTCATTACTCAGCTGTGCTTTCATGGTCATTTGTGGACATGCAGAGCAGCAAAAAATTTAAGTCACTTGATGCACATATTCCCAGGTTGAACAAAACCTTATTTCAGTACTTGTACTATAAACAAGTCCTTTTCATGGTCTACTTAGTACCATGTTTTTCAAATTTTTGTGCTGTTTGTAATGGTCCCCAAGCGTAGTGCTGAAGTGCTATCATCTAGTGTTCTAAGTGCAAAAAGTCTGTGATGTACCCTAGGAGAAAATACATGTTAAATAAACTTCGTTTAGGTGTGAGTTGCAGTGCTGTTGGCTGTGAGTCCTGTATCAATGAATCAAAAGTGTATATCTAAGAAAAGAGGAGGAAGTTTGCCAATTTGTATGTGAGGCTGCTCCAGAAAGTGCTCAAGTAATATCTATAGTACATGATGAAGCTAAGGAAAAGGCAAAAAGTTGTACATAAATTGGTAGATCCATGAGATGCTGACCAATAAAATAAAGTGTAGTGGACAGCATTATGAAACTGAAAGCCAAGGACAATGACAGTCATGTTTCCCAGATTTAGGAAAATGTTAAACCTATTGCAGCTAGTGCTCGCTATCTCAAATGTTTTAAGAGGTTGATATATTGTGAAAAATGTTAAATTTGCATGCAAGGCAAGTTCTTAAGATTAGAAGTCTGTGGAAGATTTTTAAAAATACCTGCAAAGTGTTATGTGGGAAAACAGGTATGTAGGAGAGTAGATTTTCAATGCTGGTGAGACTGGCTTGTTTTACATGGACATTGGCAGAGAAACCTACATAATGCAGATGGACTCCGAAGCTCCTGGCTTTACATCGTTCAAAGACCAAAGACCACGCAGTTAATTACTTGTAAGAAGAGTATATTAACTAGAGTGTCTTTAAACAGAAACACATGTAAAACAAGGTTACATAGAATCAGTTTACAAAAATACTATGACCAGAGGCTCGTAGGAACCTAACTTGTAGTTCCACTAGGAGCAGTGGTTCTATATTCACTAATTCAGTGTTCAAGGTGACTTGAACACAACTACCATGAATAATGAAATTAGACTGTAATACATAAACATACATGTTTATAAACAATTTACACTTAAAGATTTAAGATATATTAGTGATATACTAGTTACTATATTTTCTACCCTTTTCCTGAACTTTGTCTAAATTGCTGTTTTCCTGGAGGAATATAATAAAATTACATTTATTTCTATTTAGTTGTGTATTCACATATTTATAACGTATAAAACTTTCAACATTTATAAATATAAGTGCAGTTATCAAGCATTATAAAGGATCAGAGATTTTACCCTAATTAGGTCAAGATAACAAGTGAGTATGTCACAGTTTTATGGATGCTGGTAGGAGATAAGAGATTCCTGGGTCGGAGATGAAAGAGTTTATTACTCATAGCAATAGCAGTATCCAGAATGACATAATTTTTGCATGATTCCCTGAATGCCAGTTCCCACATGGTGAAATGAAGAGGGCTAACTGGCACGTGCACATGCACTGAGTTGTAGGAAAGGAACCCTGAGCTTAAGAAATCCAATTTTTTACAATGTTTAGGACAGTAAGAATGTTTTCCTTTTGCTCTAGAAGGAGACCCTTTGTCTTATCTTCCAAGGTTGGTTGTTGTACAAACATCCTTGAAAAGATAGTTAATAAGGACAGTTTGTGCCTTTCTTTCAAGACATGCAGAAATGCAAGAGACCTGTGGAGTATTGTGACCTAACATTAATTACTTTCACTTTATTTTTATGTAGTTGCATTTATTTGTTTACACATCTATTTGTATGTGTATTTGTATGTACATTTTTATATGTATATGTATGTTTTATTAACTGATTGATTTTAGAGAGAGACATCAGTTTGTTGTTCCACTTATTTATGCATTCACTCATTGGTTGCTTCTCGTATATGCCCTCACCAGAGATTGAACCTGCAACCTTGGTACAATGCTCTAACCAACTGAGCTACCTGGCCAGCCCTATATATGTAGGTTTTAAAATGTTTGTTTCTTTTTTTTTTTTTTGATATGTTTTTATTAATTTCAGAGAGGAAGGGAGAGGGGGAGAGAGAGAGAAACGTCAGTGATGAGAGAGAATCATCAATCAGCTGCCTCCAACATGCCTCCTACTGGGGATCAAGCCTGCAGTCCAGGCGTGTGCCCTGACTGGAAATCGAACCTTGACTTTTCTGGTTCATGGGTTAGTGCTCAACCACTGAGCCACACTGGCCAGACTAAACATTTGTTTCTTACATAAATTTGCTTGTTTATGTATTTAGTATGGAATGCTAACACATTTACATTATTTAATGTATTTGTGTTCCTATTTGTGTCTATATTCACTTACGTAGAATACTACTAGTAGTATATATTATAAATACATGTACATTCATTTGCATTTATGTTATTTGTTAATGTTTGTATACTTGCTGGTATTTATACACCTTTAATATTCTCGCTATTTAGAGTAAGTTGGGGTAGGGCCTGGTCAGGCAGATCCCAGGCTACCTACTGTATTCCACCAACCCTGCAGGCCTGTTCACTGCCCAGTGGGAGGGTTGTGTGGGTGGAGTGGCAATGGCTCCACCTGGGTACCAACCCTTCCTGGCCCACCTCCAGCCCTACAGGAGACAGGATCCGAAGCAAAGTTGAGCTGACCCGATACCTGGGCCCTTCGTGCGACCTCACCCTCTTCGACTTCAAACAAGGCATCCTTTGCTATCCAGCCCCCAAGGTACTACACAATGTGGGGTATCCAGACACAGGGGTGGCTGAGCCACCTAGCACCCACTCACTAACCTACATTCTTCCTGCCCTTGCTCTTATCTCTAGGCCCAATCCTTGGCTCTCCCCAGCAGGAAGCGGAAGAAGCCTTCGAAGCCAGTTAAAGCTCGGAAATGTCAGGTTGGATCCCAGAGGGTTGAGGTCAGAAAGGAGGCCCCAGGGGGTGAAACCAAGGCTGATGCTGACACAGCCCCTGCTTCTCTCCCTGGGCCTGGGTGAGTGTTAACCTAAAGTGAAATGAGTGGGTGAGGGTTGTGGTTGGGGGTGCACTAAGGGCTCCACACTCATGTTTCCTGTCTCAGGTACTGTGAGAACTGTGGGATCAGCTTCTCAGGGGATGGTACCGGAAGGCAGCGGCTCAAGACATTGTGCAAAGACTGCCGAGGTGAGTGGCTCCCTAGGACACTGGGAGATAGGGGCTAGAATAGGTCTGGTGTCAGGCTAGGACACCAGTGTCAGGCTAGAAGTTGAATGGTGAATGTCAGGGCAAAGGCATTGGATGAGGTCAGATATCTGATGCTCTCTTTCTACTTCTCTTAAATCGCCTTCCCCCCAGCGCAGAGAATTGCTTTCAACCGGGAGCAGAGGAAGTTTAAGGTAAGCACAACCTGTCTCATCACAAGTGTGTGGTGGGAGCAAGATGTGATAGGTGCTAGTGGAAGGTCTGAAGGAATGGTGATGGTTCCACAGGATGTCAGGGTTATTTTTTGGGAGCTAGCCATAGTCACCAGACTGTAATGGGAGTTAAAGGGGTGTTAGTAGACACAGTGGTGGAGGTAGACATTGTGATGGCCTCGATGATGTTAGCTAATCAGTAATTATCAGTTACAGTAATGAAGCAAATGGGGGACCAGCAGACATGGTAATAGGAGCTAATATAGGGTCAGCAGACACTTGAGGGGCAGTTCTTCTGGAGTCACTCTGCTTGGGCCTGTGACCTTGCCCCACCCTTTCCTGGCAGCGTGTGGGCTGCGGAGAGTGTGCAGCCTGCCGGGTAACTGAAGACTGCGGGGCTTGTTCTACCTGCCTTCTGCAGCTGCCCCATGATGTGGCCTCGGGGCTGTTCTGCAAGTGTGAACAGAGACGGTGCCTCCGGATTGTGGAAAAGGTGAGTTGGGCAGGTGGGGTGGGCCCAAGGCTAACCCTAGCCCCTGGCCCTCATAGCCCTGGCCCCGTGCATCATGCCTCTGGCCCCCCAACAGAGCCGAGGGTGTGGAGTTTGCCGGGGCTGTCAGACCCGAGAGGACTGTGGCCGTTGCCGAGTCTGCCTTCGCCCTCCCCGCCCTGGTCTCAGGCGCCAGTGGAGGTGCGTCCAGCGGCGCTGCCTACGAGTGAGTCAGGCTGGAGGGGCCGGTGCTGGTGGGGCCAGGGCTGGGGCAGAGCTCATTCTGCTATTAAACTTGCTGCTGCTGCTGCTTTCTCCCAACCTGGCCTTGCCCACCTCATGTCTTCTTTTCTCCTTCACGCTACTGTCACCTCCCTGGCCCCACCTACCTGTCCCTGTCTGCCAGCATCTTGCCCACCGCCTGCGTCGCCACCATCAGCGATGTCAACGACGCCCTCCCCTAGCTGTGGCTCCCCCTGCTGTGAGTGCCCCATTCCACACACTACCTATCTGTCCCGTGCATGCTTTCTGCACTCCTTGGTCGGGAGGGTCCTGTGTCTGCCTGGTGCCACCAGCCCTAAACTAAACTACTTTTTCGGCTTTCTCCTAGGGTAAGCGTAGCCGCCGCAGAGGAGGCTGCGACTCCAAGAAGGCTGCCAGGCGGCGCCCCCGAACCCAGCCACTGCCTCCGCTTCCCCCATCACGGCCTCCAGAGTCCCCAGAGCTGGTGAGGCCCTACAGGGCGGGGGAAGGCACAACCCTAATCTTACCCAGTATCTACCTTGACCCCACCCCATTTGCCTCTGCAGCACCCCAGAGCCCTGGGCCCCTCATCACCTGCCGAGTTCATCTATTACTGTATAGACGAGGACGAGCTAGTGAGTGGCCCCATCTTACCTGGACAAGCGTAGACTCTTCCAGGGCACTTGGTTAAGCCCAAAGAAGCACATGCTGCAGTGGGCTTAATAGGGGAATAGCAAGGCACAGTAATGGGTACTATTATGGGATGAGCAGACAATGGGGGAGGGACTAATATGAGATCAACAGCTGCAGTGCTAGTACCTAATGTCATATGAAGCAACATTCTGGTTGGGCTGAAAGAAGAAAGGCTGACATGGTGACCAGAGTTTACACTGTGAGTAGATGTAGCAGCTGTGGTGATAGGTGCTAATAGAGGGTCAGCAAAATCCTGTTGGAGGTGGGGAGGTCAAAGATGTTGTCTTGGTAGCTAGTAGGGGACTAGCAGATAGAGTAATGGATACTGTGTTGGAGCAGCCACAATGCTAATAGTATCGAGAGGTATTTGGTACAGTGATAGTGCCTGATGTCGGACCAGCAAATACTGACATGTGACTAGTGGGAGTCAGGCTAAGACTACTGTGCATCCAGTTCCCTCCCATGGGGCTAGTGGAGGAGCAACAGGAACAGTACTGTAATAGTCCTAGTGACAGCTCCCCTATTCCCTCTGTCTCCCAGCAACCTTACACAAACCGCCGGCAGAACCGAAAGTGTGGGGCCTGTGCAGCCTGCCTGCGGCGGATGGACTGTGGCCACTGTGACTTCTGCTGTGACAAGCCCAAATTCGGGGGCAGCAACCAGAAGCGCCAGAAGTGTCGTTGGCGCCAATGCCTGCAATTTGCCATGGTGGGTGGGGCAGGAAGGGTTAGGTGGACAGGATAGGTTGGGCCAGGTCCCCCAGTGCCTGGGAGTGGTGGACAGACCTGGTATGTGGGTGGGGCAGGCCAGATGGGTCTTGCAGCTTCAGAGGGGTGGGTGGGGCAGTGGGTTTGGTCAAGGAATAGCAGATACCATGCCAGGGTAAATGAGGAATCCAGGTGGCATTGGCAACGAGAGTAGCAGGCTCAGTGATAAGGGGCCTATATGAAAGCAGATTCTCTGCTGGTACTAATGGGATCAGCAGGCATGTTGTTGAGGGCAGGGTGGTATGGTCAGGTCACTGCATCAAGTGGCCATAACATCCTACCTTTCCTCACAGAAGCGCCTGCTGCCAAGTGTCTGGGCAGGTTCCGAGGATGGGGCAGGGTCGCCCCCACCTTACCCTCGTCGAAAGAGGCCTGGATCGACTCGACGGCCCCGTCTGGGCCATACCTTGAAGCCCCCCTTGGGCACACCCACAGCCCGACCAGACCATACCCAGACTCCAATGAAGCAGGAAACAGGCAGTGGCTTTGTGTTGCCCCCGCCTGGCACTGACCTTGTGTTCTTACGGGAGGGTGCAAGCAGTCCTGTGCAGGTGCCTGGCCCTTCACCAGCTTCTACAGAACCCCGGTTGCAGGTGAGGGCCCCACCTTACTGTGCCCTTCCCAACCCTATCCAGCCCCGTTCCAGGAAGCTGGGACCAAGTCTGCTGCAATCCTCCTTCACACAGGAGGCCCAGTGCCCTGGCCTGAGTTGGGTTGTGGTCTTACCCCAGGTGAAGCAAGAGAAGGCGGATGCCCAGGAAGACTGGACACCGGGTACAGCCATCCTGACTTCTGTATCGCCGCCTGGCTGCCCCAGCAAGGTGGGGGTCAGTGATGGGTGATCTGTGAGCAGAGTGATGGTGAGCCATGATGGTGGTTCTTTGAGCAGAGCAATAGGTGTGCTGATTGCAGCTTTTCCACAGAATTACCCTGCCTTCCCCAGGCAACTAGCTTTGCCTGCTTTGCTGCCCAGCTAACAAAAATGGAAATCTTTGAGGAATGGGAAAGGTTTGTAGACAGATGGTTTTTCTGTGCTGAAGTGTGATAGAAGTGGAATTTGTCAGCACAGTGACAGGTTGGCTGATAGAGACTCTTTCCTCAGGCCAACTGTGCCTTTCTGACTGTCGCCCGTTTCCCACCTCTCCCAGGCAGTAGACTCAGGCCTGCCACTTGTGAAGCAAGAACCACCTGACCCTGAGGAGGACAAGGAGAAGAGCAAGGATGACTCAGCCTCTGATTCGGCCCCAGAGGAGGAGGCAGGAGGGGCTGGCACGCCAGTGGTCAGTGCTGGGGAACACCACACCCTGCCCTGACCCAGCTTAAACCCCACCAGCTATGTTGACCCATAATATTAATTCTTCCCCAGATCACGGAGATTTTCAGCCTGGGTGGAACCCGCCTTCGGGACACAGCAGTCTGGTTGCCAAGGTGTGCCCCGTATAGTGAGGGGTGGGGATGGGTTGGGTTCTGGTCAGATGTGGGCCTTGAGTTTTGAAAGTGCAGCCAATATTTTGGCATGATGCAGTGGGAGGTAAAGGCCCCACACCACTGCATTGATCATGATCAATGAGGAGGTATATGTAGGCCCTTAGAGATTTCCAGAGGTGCAGGTCAGGTCTCATTGATGGGGTGGGTCAAGGGAGATGACTTGGTGCTCTATGATGACATTAGAAAGAAAAAGGAAAGGAAAGCGTGGTCCCTAAGAAAAACCAGCAGGAGTCAGACTTTAAATTTTACTCAGAGAATCATCATTTGGGGTCTTCAATGCCTTTAGAGTCTCCAAGAGATGACCAGGTGGGCAGGGTAGTGGTGGGTGGGCAGGATATCAGGGTCCACACGCAACTGTGATCTTGGACTAGTCTTGCACCTCCTGGAGCATCCTCTGGAGGGGGTTAGGCTATGTTTCTTGAGCCTTTCCTGGGTCTGTTGAGGTTAACAGTTTCATCTGCTGTGCAGAACTGTCCTTGCAGGCCTGGCAACAGGATGAAGGATAGGTGCCTCTAAGGACTGGGATAGTGGGAAGACAGGAAATGCTACTTCCTGCAGAATGTTGACAGGCTCCACACACAGCCCTAGACACAGGCAACATAAACTATTGGCCTCAGCACCTGGATACCTTTGTTCTTACAAACTAGTTCTGCAGGCCAAAAACCCTTCCATCTGCCCTTGGGCAATTACAGAACTACTGATTGAGTCCCTGCTGGATACACTTCAGTGCGAGAGATACAGCAGTAAGATACAATGACCGTGGAAGGCTTATCCTTCAGGAGACAGGATTCTAACCTTCAGGGAGCTTAAAATCTAACTGGGGAAACAGTTTCCCAGTGCATGAAATCATTACATAAAACAGAGAAGGTAATGATGTGTTATGTTTGTAATGGAAGATATTAGAAGAGAGCAGAGAGAAAGACTAATTAAGGGGAAGGGGATGGCCAACACAGAATAGTAGGAAATGGTTTTGTGATGCTCCATTTTGTACATAGCAAACCTCATTCAACATACAGACCTGCTCCCTCTTCTCTAGGTCCAAAGACCTTAAAAAACCTGGAACTAGAAAGCAGTAGACTGGAGGCTTCTGCAGACTGTAGGATTCAAGGTGAAATTTACGGACCGGCTTTATGAGAGACAACTCCATAAAGGTCCAGAGGCTGGACCATAAAGCGATTGCCAGGGCTTGTGTAGGAAAATCAGTGGGAACTGGAAAAACCTACCACCAAACCAGAGGAGCAGGCCTGTTCAGTCCTTTGTTATAGAGGAAGTAAGGAAGAAAGGAAGAGAAAGAGTAGAAAGTTGGTGCATCTGCTCCAAATGGTGCAAATCCCAGAAGGCTGAGCATGATAAGAAGTTTGAATATTAGGGGTGGAGGAGCTGGGTTTGGGGCTGGGGGGTAGAATTAGAGCCACCATAAAACAAGCTAAACAAGCCATCTTCATAAGTAATATTAAATGGCTTCTGGGTGAGACCTGGCAGTGTCTCTAAACATTTCCTCAGGGAGACAGCAATCGAAAATGTAATGTGAATAAATAAGGAAAGGAACTGCAATTTGGTGAGTTCTTCCTTATGGATCCAGTTTGTTTCTCAGAACAGTCTTTTTAGGAAGACATTGATTTTGCCCATTTTAACAGATGGAAAAACAGACTCAGAAATTAAATAACTTGTCAAACAGCTAGTATTGTTAGAACCTAGAATCAAACTAGGTTGTAAAATTTTGTTCTTTAAGCCACTAACCTGTAAACTGTAATCCTGAGTTCAATAATGTGTAATAATATAGTAACAAGTTTCCAGTGACTCTGAAAACAAGATAGATTAAGCATTGTAACAAATCCCTTACACTGCTGTCTCTGGCATGGTTTAGGGAGTGGCAAGGCAGTGTGGATGGGGTCACCTTGTTAGAGCATCTGTGCATCCAGAGACTGGATTCTTTCCAGATCACTGGTGTTGCATGGGATTCCTCAAACCCTAAAGGGTATCCTTCCCCACTGGCTCCTGTCCGTTTTGCTTATTTCCTTCACTCCTCCTCAGCCAAAGCAGTCTTTGGAAGTAGAGCTGCCAGCCTGGCTCATCTTTCTTAACAACTTGTGTCCCCTGCCCCTTGACATTTTTGCGTGGTTTCTGCTCTCAGCCCGTGTCTTCTAGTAATATGAGTTCCTGCTTTGAGTCCTGTCAAAGGGCCAGTCTTGGCTCAGCCCTGCCTCACTTTCCAATACTTTGCATAGTGCTAAAAGTGATTAGACATGAAGTTCATTACTCAGCCAGCTTTACAAGGCCAAGACTGAGTGTGCCCCCTTAAATTTTGTAGCTTATGTGCTTCCCTCGCCTTATTCTAGTCCTAGCCTGGCAACTTTAGATAATTCATATGTAGATTAGCTATTTCCTTGCTGTAATTCATGATACAGCCCTATGCCACCCTCCTATGCCCCTTTCTTTGCCTCATCCTACCTACTTCAGCCAGAGTCAACTGGATAATTTTCTGCTATTGTTTTGCTCCCCCCAGGATCTAACCACCCAACCGTAGTCTGATAGTTTTGACAATGATATCCTATGTGAAATTTATTTGATTGGTATTCTGACTGATGAAATAAGAATTTGGTTACCATGTGTATCAGGGTACAATCAGAAAAGCAGCACCACTAGTATAAAGATTTTATATATATGTATGTATGTATATTTATATATATGTATATATGTATATATATGTTTACTACTTTAAGGGATTTATTATAGGGATTTGACCATATGCAATTGTGGGAGCTGGTTAAACAGTCTCTGTAAGGCTGTTATCTTTGCATCTAATGCTGGAGCTTGAAGTCTGCAGGGCAGGCAATCGGGAAGGGAAGATGGATATAAAGTGTGGGAGACCGAGGACACATTGGCGCCCACAAGCACAAGCTGGACCCCCCGCAGATGGCCTGGAACCTATGTCATTCTCTCACCACCTCCAACTTCGATGATGTGGGTGTCCTGCAGAAGAAGCTGGTGCCCTTCATCACAGAGTTAAATATGCATCGGGCCTAGCAATTTGAGAAGCTGAAGGAAGATCCTGGGGAAGGTGGAGCAGCTGCAGACCTGGCTCCACACCTTGGAGGCCAGCCAGCAAATAAATGACAACATCTGAACTGCAACAGTGCCTGGTGCCCCTGCACCAACCTTCAAAGTGTAAAAACAATATGCTGCTGTTTCACTTCTGCCCTCCAGTTAGCACATAAAATGTTTCTTGTGGCCCATTCTAACCGGAAGCATATGGGGAAGGGAGTTCTGGGAAACCTAGACTAGTCAAGGTGACATATCACAAAGCCACCCTGTCATGAATCAGCTCCAAAGGGTCTCACTACTCACCTGAGGATAAGTTGATAAAGCTACATTGCTGGAAATGCAAAGCGGAGGAAGACCATGGGTTTCATGGTGACCCCAGCAATACAGAAATTGCGTCAAACCCACCCAGTAGAAATGTGGGTCTCGGCTCTTTGCCACAAGTATTGAGAACCTGGCCCGTGGTAGGCACTGAACTTAATACTGGGGTACAGGAATGAAAAAGACATGGTCCATGCAATTTTATTAAATACATCAATATGTATTGCAAATGGTGAATGGATTTCCAACTTTCATGGAATTTAATGGTGAAAATATAGAATTCAGAAAACTATCAAGAGGATAGCCCTTGTATGAACCTTGTTGGGGCACAATAGGAATTGGTAATAATATAGTTTCTGTCTCTAAACTGTTCTATTTTAAAATTATTTTTAAATATTTTTATTGTCCCATTTACTGATTCATATATTTAGTGTATCTCCTGGGAATGTCTTGATGATGGTAACAGTGTTGACTGTGGGACAGTGGGTGGCAAATCACTTCTCTTAGGCCTCCGTGGGGGTTTGGCTTTGGTTGGCTGAATGCCCAAGCTCACCGCGCCAGGCGCCAAGCCCAGCGCTTCCACTTGGAATAGACCCGCCAGGGGGCGCCGGGACCTCGGTCATCCCACCTGGGCTAGAGGAACTCAGCCCCTCACCACTGGTCTGGTCTGGGCGGGCCAGGGGCGTGGCATCTGCTTGCTGAAGGGAAATCGATTCCCCTGCCTCACATAGTGGTGAAACAGGCAAAACCCAACTGGAGTTAAATTACAGGGCTGCCTACGGTGAGCATGCCTCACGAACTCAGGATCAACGCTGGGGACATTCGAGGGCAGCCTGGTGTCGCCCAGGGGCAGCTTCCCCCAGTCGCCGAAACTCATTTAGATGGGGCCCTCCGGGCTTTACGACCTCGGGGGTGCCCTACAGGCGCCCCTGAATCTTCGCAGATTTTCCCAAATCCCTGCGCCTGGCCGAGAATGTTTTCATTCCCTCCCTCTCCAAGGGCATGGTTTCCGGAGATCAGCCGGTGGGCTAGGCACCCATGGGACTAGCTCGCGCCCTCAGGACTCGGTCCAGGGAACCGAGACGACCATCTAATTTCTTTCTTTCTTTGTTTGTTTCAGGCTACATAAACTTAGCAGTAAATGAAAATGAGTATTTTACTGAACTGCAATTGAAAGAAGAAGCATTATAGGAGAGAAAAGACAATTATTTTAAAAGATTAATTTAAAAAGAAGAAACATTATTTTGTGGCTGAAAAGCTGAACCAGCAATTCAGGAAATGGAATCCAAATCTAGAAACGTACCATATACAAAATCCGAAGTGGGTGGATTACAAATGATTAAGGAATGTTAATTTACAGTAAATTGTGGCCTTAAGATGGTATGCACAATAGTTGTGCTTTCGTTATTGTTACATGACAGTGACTGACTAGGCACTGATTTTTTTCTGTGCTCTATGTATTCTAGTGTTCTATGTTCGCCCCCACTTTAGAATGAGAGTAGCAAAGTGTAATTCTTAATTGGCTTTAAGATATTAACTACCACCTTGCTTTTGGCTGGAAATACAATAGTGGTCTCCACCTGTGCAGAGGGCCCCTCCCAGCTTCCCTGGGATCCGGATTCTCAGGGCCTGATTACCTGCACTTCTGATCCACACATCCTGACTTTGGTCCAATGTGACCCTTGACTCAGACTCTTGGTTTCTATTGTGCCCAGCCATTCATATCATTGCACTGCCAGCCCAACTGGTCTGCACCCCCCCACCCCAGAGTACCCTAAGTCTAAAGCCTGGTTTCTCCCCAGTGCAATAAGATTTTATTAATAGGTTTATCATCACTGGTTGGGTAGGCTGACAAGGCAGGCTCTCTCAGCCTTGTCTTTACTGTAAAATGAGGACAATACCTGCTGTTCCATTAACCTATGAGATATTTGTGAGGCTCAAACATTTTACGTGTGAAAATACCTTGCAAATTACTGTAAAGAACTACAAAAATACAAAAGGTGGACTTGTGATGATTTACATTACCAAGATTAACCTAGGGGTGGCCACAAAATTTAATAACCTTCCCACAAAATGCCCACTAACCTTTCTCGTGCTTTTAGACTGATTACAGGATATAAATAGCCAAGGCCAAATGGAATGTTATTATATCTTCGACTTCACTTCGGGTAAAGGATGCTTTTTTCTGCTGTTCTGATGAACCCTAGAGGAAGAGGGCGAGGTCCGCAGGAGACCTGACCAGGGCGTGGTGAGGTCCGCGCAGACTCAGCTCCTCCGCTCCCAGAGGAAGTCCCGGGTGCCGGCGTCTGCGGTCACCATGGTGACGAGACCAACTTCCGTCCTACCCACCTGCCTGTTGCCCCGCGAGGCTCACCATGGCAACCAGACATCCGGGTCTGGGAAGCTGGTTCTGCAGGTCTCCACCGTTAGGGAAACGGGGCGGACGCCGCCCCCATCCCGAGGGGACTCGAAAATGTACAGCCAGCGGTTTGGCATCGTACAGCGGGAGGTTAAGGGCCCCACTCCCAAAGTGGTGATTGTGGTAAGCACGGGATGTGTGCGGGCCTCTACCGCTTTCTGCATCCTCGCGCACTCTAGCCTAGCTGAGCCCAACCTGGCCTCTAGCTGGGGCTCCCTCAAGGGGAACAGGTGCCGGATACGACGGGGTTGAATTTTGAAAGGAAGGATAATTTCTCTTCCGTATGCCGTCCCTTCCAACTCCCATACTCCCCCACCCCCAC